AGAGAGAGAGAGAGAGAGAGAGAGAGAGAGAGAGATCAGATCGATCGATTGGATCGATCCAATCAGTCGGTCCGATTGATCCGATCGATCGATTGGATCGATCCGATCAGTCGGTCCGATTGATCCGATCAATCAATCAATCAATCAACCTTCTCTTTTTCTTAATAAATGACCACCAGAAAAGAAAAACAAAAAGAAAAAACTAACGAAGAAAAAACTGGCGTTTCTGCTGAACAGGGCAGTTTCTGCCCTGTCCCATTCAGCGAATTGGCCTGGCTGTGGGTGTAATCCCTGTCACCCGCACCAGACCGGAACAAAAAAAAATAAAAACTTTGGGCGTGTTGTACACGCGCGTACATAGCGTACATAGGGGCGCCTAGTGCGCGTCTACCCCATTTCGAAGGTGTCCATTCTTTTCTGTGGATGAAAGCCTTTGCTCCACTACACAACATTCTAAATGTATCTGGAAGTGGTACCAAAGTGGTGGTACCAAATGGTCCCGATATCTTTGAAATGCCAGGTCTGTCTGATCGTAGTCCAAATACATGACATTGTATAATGTTGTCTAGTACAGCGAGGTCCAAAGTCTCAGTTTTTTTCTACAAGCTGGGAGAAGCCAAGAAGCAGCTGAGCGTCTCAAGATTTCACGAATGTCATTATACCACCACGGTCCACCAGTACGTTTCCTAGCCATTTTTTCAGAGTCGCTATTCCCAGAGTCACAGCGTGCATGCTGCCGCAACTCTCGGGAAGTATCAGGCATTGTTTCGCTGGACATCCATACAGGCAAAACGGGCCTCATGCAAGGCCCGTTTCGCCTGGATGGATGTAGAGCCGAATGGCACCCTGCTACTTCCCAAGAGTCGCGGGAAAAATGGCTGGGAAACGTACTGGACGTGTATTCGAAGGAGAGGGGCTGCGGCAAGAGAGCTCGCTTGTGCTTCCAGGCACCCACAGTTGTTATCCCAGCCAGCCACAGGCGTTACCTCAGCCAGCCACCATCCGGTTGTACGCTCAGACAGCCATCTGGTTGTATACTCTAAATGGTTCCAGAGCAGGTACAGGGACTAATGCCAGGTTCGACCGCTCCATTGCTTCCTCAGAGTTGATGGAAGGACTAATGCCAAGGCTGAGCCATCCCGCTGTCATCCCAGTTGTCCAGACCGGTTTGATTGGTCTAGAGCTTCCAGAGTCGGTGCAAGGACTAATGCCCAGTGCGACCAATGGGTGGCCCCCTGGCAAAAGGCAATGTAGGGAGGGCGAAGGGGCCCATCACAAGAGAGCTCGCTCGTGCTTCCATCGATGAATGTCCCATCGGCAAAAACAACCTCGTCTTCGTAGCCAGGCGTCCGCCCTGCAACAGGCTTGATGTAAGATCCAACTGGACAACGAGTCTGCACGGCTGCACAGAACGACAAAAGCCGCTCCCTTGACCCTAGCTTGACAGCCTGGATTATATCGTTCCGCTGGACTCGCGGTGGGGGTTGCACCTCATAGCCCCTTGCTGACATCACCTCAGCGATCAGCAGACTGCTCTTGATGGCTTCCCCAACCATCTGAGGTGCCAAGAACAGTCCTTGAAGCATCAACCTCATGGTTGTACCAGATGCAGCACCTGCATCCATACCTATTCCTGGAGCACTTAGTCGGGCCAGTGCAGCTGAGACCATCTCCTTTCCACCAGCTATGTACCCTCCACTGGCAACTATAGTTCCCCCTGGATTCTTAATCAGGCTTCCAGCAACAAGGTCGGCTCCAACTTCAGCAGGCTCACTGGTGGAGACAAATTCTCCATAGCAGTTGTCCACTAGAACGATGCAATTGCGATTTCTGCGCTTGACTATTTGAACAATGCGCCCAATCTCTGGAATGGTGAGAGAGGGACGCCAAGAGTACCCGCAGGATCTCTGGACAAGCACACACTTGGTCTTCGATCCAACAGCGCTCTCAAGTGCTGTCCAGTCGATTCTACCCTCTGATGTGAGGTCAACCTCGCGATATGAAACCCCGAGTTCTTTCAAGGAACCATGTCCAGGGGTACCACGTAAGCCTATCACTTCTTCCAAAGTGTCATAGGGAGGGCCGGCAGCTGCCAAGAGTTCATCCCCTGGCCTGAGCACACCATACAGAGCGCAGGAGATGGCATGAGTACCGGAGAAGAACTGTGAGCGGACACACGCCATCTCTGCTCCCATTACTCGTGCGAATGCATAATCAAGAGCTTCTCGACCTCCAGCATCCGCGTGTCCATACCCCGTGGAGCCAGAAAAGTGATGTGGACCCAATCGGACAGATTGAAAGGCATTCAGTACCTTATTCAGATTAGCAGCAACTAACTGATCCACACTCAGGAACTGCGGAGCCAGAGTCTCGACCGCACGTGCTATCTCATCGGAAAAAGGAGACGGAGATGGAGGAGAGGGGAAATCACTCTCAACGACACGCGGCTTCTCGCCATCTAATAACGCCACTTGAGGAGAGTTTGATGCCAACCTGGCCGTCGTTGGACTGGTTGCCACATCAGCGCTCACTTCCTGCTCCCTGTGAAGAGGAGAAAGAGAGGCCCGAGCACACAACCTGGACGGACGTTCTTGCAAATTTGACATGCTCGAGGATGTCCCTTCTCCCCTCCTTACCCTTCTTCTCCTCTTAGTGCTGGTCCCTAATATCCCTGTCACCATCTTTAGGTCATCCTTTTCCCCGCAGCTGATTGCAGCCGTCATCGATCTCCATGAGATCAATGGTGAGAGAGGGTGCCGCTGCAGGCTCCATGGTTCCAAATCTGAGCCCCCTGGCCGATTAATCTTATTTCTTCCTGCTCGGTTCCGCGATGACAACACGAATTTGCTGCAATATGCGGGCATCCACGTGGCAGAATCTCTGCTGCTGCAGCAGTGGCCAAGATTAGCACAATCTTGGCATAGGGCATTCGATCTGCATATTGCAGCGAATCCACCATGCGCTCCTATTGTTGTCGTCGCTGCCATCACTCTTGCACAGTATGCACTGTGCACTGGAGGCAGGCAGGCTGCAGCGCCACGCACATGCACATACACCCTTTTGGTCACGCTCAGTGCCTCTATGCGTGTGCGGACAAGCAGGAATGACAGCAGTTAGATCACTGTGCGCGCTCCAGGGAACGTACCATTACTCAGGGCATATGTTGGGTGGTTCCTCTGGAGGACGAGGCATCACCCCCAGTTCAAACTAGGGCATTGGATTTGCATATCGCAGTGAATCCACCATGCCCTGCTATTGTTGCCGCCGCTGCCATCACTCTTGTGCAGCATGCACTGTGCACTGGAGGCAAGCAGGCAGCACTGTGTTTGGACTGAACCATGGCCCGAGTGCCATGGGCACTGAAACCGGATATTGCCCCTGCCATCACCAGTGTCAAGCCTCCAGCACCGCCGAACTCAAGGACACGGATCACAGCCCACACAACAAATCAAAACGATAAACTGAACTGGACACCCATCCGTGGTGATTATGGTCGTACGTGGCGTGGGGTGACAGAGAACCGCCTCCAAATGCCAATCGCTGCTCCCAGACACACTGCTCCAGTGATGAATACTCCAGCCCTGATAGATGGCAAGAACAACACATTTGCACTCCATTAGAATTTGTCAAATAGTGGGACCCAAACTCAGACTAAGCGCCCAATCGGCAGATTTCAAACCAAATCATCAAATTTGAGCTGAAAACACACAGAAGCCGAACCAGACAAAGGTAGAAGCCAATTGCCAAAGTTGTTGCTAGAACGATTTCACAGAACCCCAAAATTTTCTGAAACAACCTAGCCAGTGGGCACAGCAACTTTTTGAAACGTTGCGTCTGCCCGAGAGGCAAGCATTGACCTTATGAAACAACGGACCAAAGAGTCAATCAGTCCGTCAGTCAGTTTGTCAGTCAGTCTGTCAGTCAGTTTGTCAGTCATTCAGTCCAGTCAGTTAGTCAGTCAGTCAGTCAGTCACTCTGTCAGTCTGACAGACTGTCAATTAGTCTGTCAGTCTGACAGCGAGTCAGTCAGTCAGTCAGTCAGTTTGTCTGTCTGTCTGTCTGTCTGTCTGTCTGCCTGTCTGTATGTATGTCGGTCAATCTGTCGGTCCATCAGTGCGTCTGTCCGTTCGTCCATCTGTCCATCTGTCCGTTCGTCGCTCCGTCGGTCTGTTGATCCATCGGTTTGTAGGTCCATCGGTCAGTCCGTCGGTCAGACGGTCCGTCAGTCCGTCGGTCAGACGGTCCGTCTGTCAGTCGGTCAGTCGGCTCAGTCGGTCAGTTGGTTCAGTTGGGCAGTCTATCAGTCAGTCAGTCTGCCAATCTGTCATTCAGTAAGTCTGCCAATCTGTCATTCAGTAAGTCTGCCAATCTGTCAGCCTGTCAATTTGTCAGTCGGTCAGACTGACAGACTGACAGTCTATCAATTTGTCAGTCTGTCCATCTGTCTGTCGGTCTTTCTGTAGGTCCGTCTATCAGTCCATCCGTCGGTCCGTCCGTCAGTCTGTCTGTTCATCCGTCCGTCCGTCCATCCATCCCTTCCTCTCTCTCTCTCTCTCTCTCTCTCTCTCTCTCTCTCTCTCTCTCTCTCTCTCTCTCTCTCTCTCTCTCTCT